AGAGTAGCAGATTGGATAAAAAAACAAAATCCATCAATATGTTGTCTACAAGAGACACACCTGAAAAATGAAGATAAAGAAAGGCTAAAAGTAAAAGGGTGGGGGAAAATATACCAAGCAAATAAAATCCATTCTTAACTGAAAGCAAAAATGACCGTGGATTCAGTCAGATGCAGCTTCACCTTCAGTCTGTTCTTGCTCCTCAGTCACTGACAACAGACTGGCCAGTGCGACTGACTCAGACTTCCCATATTTAAATAATTTCCATATCGAATCTTTTCTTGTCTAATGGAAATAACTTGCTTGTTTCTTGAAACTCCGTTAACATTTTTAAGAATTTTATGTAAATTTAATTATTGACTGTACCTGGTTTCCTGACTTCTTGTATCAAGGGTGTTGATTGTGGATCCAAGTAAGATTGGACCTTGACAACTTCAATATTTTCTCCATCTCTCATGATGTTGCTTACTTGTCCAGTGGTGAGAATTTTTGTCTTCTTGGTTTTGCCATGCAATCTACATGGAAGTGCCCATCAACAAACAGATGTATAGAGAAACTGTGGTGTATTCACACAATGGAATACTGAGCTGCTTTAAAAAACAAGGAACTCATGAAATATTATACAAAATGAGTGACCCTGGAGGACATTATGCTGAGTAAAATATCTCAGTCACAAAAGGACAAATACTGCATAGTGCCCTGTTGTAAAACGGGACTGACATCAGGGTTGGGGAGAGACTGAGAAAGAGGGGATAAATAATGTATACTGCGTTGAAACAGATGAGGGAGAAAACTGCTTAAAAGGGATATATGATTGGGTATCATTGTCATGAAAGAATTTTTCTTTTACTTTTCAAAGAGAAGAGCGAACTGGAGGGGAGGGGTGGGCAGGAAGAAAAGTGCAACAATGAATGAATGGAAATCCAAACTAGCTGTTAGCTTTCATTAAAATTAATAATGAAAAACGTTTTTAAAAAGACCATCTTTCTAGAAGAACTACAGCATCTCAAACTTCTAATCATAATTTCACATCACATTTATATATTTTTGTCATTTTCATCACTAGCTATACTAATCCTATTTTATAATATATAATCAGTAAATGCTTCTTATTACTTTCTGCTCTGGCAAGTCCACATAAAACCTGAATTTTGTTTCTTACTATACTTAAATGAAATAACGTATATAGATTATCTGTTAATACAGTTAGTCACATTCCGTGCATATTTGTGTTTCTTACTCTGTCCTTCTCGTTTACCTGCTGTTGGGACAGATGGTAGCCATTTCATTTTGGTTCCCACTTTCAGTATAATCTAGATTTTATTACCAGTCACATTGGATTTCTTAGCTTTAATTCAATTTTGACATGATATTAAGTCCTTTGCCTTTTGATGGATTGTAATTCATGATGATCCCATCTGTCACAGTAGCACTGCTCTGTACGGTTTTTGTGACTGTCATCTTTACTGAAGGGAGCTCGGGTGGCCTCATAGGTAAGGAGTTCCACTGCTAACCTTCCTCATAAACGCCACGTCCTTCTCATAAAGCCCAGCCTCCCACATGGTCTGTTCACATACAGATTGATAAGGTATGGAGATAGGACTCATTCCTGATGGACTCCTTTTGTGATTTTGACCTATCCAGTGTTTCTTTGTTCTGTTCTGAAGACTGCGTCATGATCCAAGTTTAGGTTTCATATGAACAGAATCAAATATTCTGCGATTCCCATTCTTCTTAGCATTTGCTAAGGCTTGTTGTGATCCACACAGTCAAATGCCTTTGCCTAGTCAGTGAAACACAGATATTCCTCTGGTATGCACATGGATGAAGGACCTGAAGTGCTTGCTGCAGATTAAGGACTGCAGTCTTCAATATGGATTGAAGCTCAACATCAAGAAAATGAAGATTCTCACCACTGGGCCAATTGGCAGCATCATGATGGATGGTGAAGAGATTGAGATTGTCCACAACTTTAGTTTGCTTGGCTCCACAGTCAACACTGTTGGTACCAGCAGTCAGGAAATCAAGAGATGAAATGAATTGGAAAAATTGCCTATCAGGTACTCAACATAAGTCTGGAGACTAAGGTGTGTGCCTGGTTCAGACCATAGTCTATGCAATTGCTTGCTGTGCATCAGAGACCTGGACAATGACTAGAGATGATAGAGAATTGATGCCTTTGAGCTGTAGTGCTGGAGAAGAGTGTGGAATGTACCATGAACTTCTAGGAGAATAAATGGGTCCGTCCTGGAGAGGGTGAAACCAGGCTGCTTCTTGGAAGCAAGAATTCTCCAGCCAGTATTATAAGAGGCATGGACATAGGAATTAAGTTTAGAAAAGAAATTAAAGAAAAAAATACACACACACAAGGCACCTCTTCAGTTTCTTTAAAATCACTGAGCAAGAAAAGCAGCCCTGAACTTCACATGCTGATTTTATACAATTTCTTTCTACCACCTTGACTGAAATCCAAGAGCAGAAGGTAAGACTCTCCTCCATTTGTGGTAAACAACCGTATGTTAAACTGGATAACTCTCCCCCTGCGCGTTACCTCGAAGAGGACATGTTTGGCATTTTGATACTGATGTCACCAATATTAGTGTTTCTCGAGATATTCTTCACAGCTAACCTCGCACAGCTGGAGCTCCTGCACGGCAGCCTCAGATTCTCGAGTTTATTTTGTGCATCAATTTGTCTAACAGTCTCATTCATGTTGGTCTCTAATACCATTCCCCCGCGACCATTTCTGCAGGAATATTGTGAACCTTGTCTACATGGAAAATGAAATCCAGTTCACATACATTTTCAAAATACTTACCGAATGTTTCCACAAATGCTTGAATTAGATCTAAAAATGCCAAGTTCACTTTCCACACCAAAGATAAAACATAATGTTGTGTAATGTCTGTAAATGGTGTCAGATCCTCCTATTAACAGTCCCCCTTCTAGGAAATTGCAAACATTTTCCTCTCTCTAAGGTACCATATGACGGTATGAGTCGTTGTTGCATATCTTCACTGTAAGACTAGGAGAACTTGGAGAGCGCGGCTTCCCAGGGCTGAGATGAGGATCCTCTCAGGGCTGGGCTGGGGACCCTGGGTGGGCGCCAGGCTTCTCCCCGGGACCCCCTGTACCCTCTTGCAAATGCGTGCACTCCCTCTCAAGCCTGGATGAAAGATTTTGTATATAGGATATTGCAATAGAAACTGGTCATGTGAAAGTGGACGAAATGGGCCATTGTCAGCCTGGTTTTTTCTTAACTCTTCCCATTCAGTATTTGAAAGACAAGTATGAGCTTGGCCCAATGAAGTCCTGGTGACATACTCACAATGAATTTATAAGTCATAAAATTTGGAAAAAAGTAAAATAAAAAACTTGGATGTTTTCTTACCAATTTTATAGGAAAAGGTAAAACCAAAGTCGTTTTTGATGTGCATTTGTGCTCGCGTGTGTGAAATGTGTGGCTGACATTGCCTTTTGCTTGCAGGACGACAGCAAGCAGGCACAGTTCCTTGCCCTGGCCGTGGTTTACTTCATCTCGGTTCTGATGGTGTCCAAGTACCGGGACATCCTGGAGCCCCAGCGGGAGACAGCCCGTGCCGCCCAGTCCAGCAGGAGCATCCGCCAGGAGATCAACTCACCCACCAGCACAGGTGTGTCGCTCTTAGCCGTCCTGGGTGGAAGTCCCGCTTGGTGGGGCCTCTTCATTCTGGTTTAAAGCCAGGTGCAGAGTGCAGCCTTTTCTGTTCCCACCCAGCTCTGATGTTCTAGGGTGGGGGTGGGACAGTGCTCATTTTGTGGGCTTTAGTTCCACGGGTTAGCCTCATAATAGTTGCTTTGTTCTCATTTTATCACTTCTGGTTTTGATATTTTCTACATACTAATAGAAATCATTCCTTTCCCCTGTTTAATATGCAAGTGATTCATTTTTTACATACCATTATTTTAACCTTTATCTTTTGTTCTTAGGGTAGCTATGAGTCATACTTGACTCAAGGGCACTTAACAACAAGAACAAAGCGTGAGACTGAGAGATGAGGTGTGCAGGAGGACAGCCACTCTAAGATCCTGACCTTATCACACCTCTTGTTTCTCTTACTCCATATGATTATTTCAGTAGTCTATCAGAATATTCTGTCAGAAGTTACAGCAAGTGAACTCCCGTAGGTGAGCTGGTCTTCCCAGTTGGGAGAAAACGCTAATGTTACGAGGGTCCTGCATGGTCAGCCTTTCCTTCCAGGCGATGAAAACACTCTGTGGCTAACAGTACGCTGATACCACAGGGCACTTCCTGTCCATTGCATTTCTTGCTAGGTGTTTGCATTGATGGTATTTCATTTTGTTTGAAGGGTTACCTTGGTGACCCAACAATTATTTCATAGATTCAGTATTATATGGGTTAGTTTATAGTTGAAATTGTCTTTACTAAAGAATTTGCAAAGGAGCCCTGGTGGTACAATGGTTAGAGCACTCTGCTGCTAACCAAAAGGTCTGCAGTTCAAACCTCCCAGCTGCTCTGAGGGGAGAAGATGTGACCATCTGTTCCCACAGAGACTTCCACTCTGGAAACTTCAAGGGCAGTTCTACTCTGTCACAAGAGGTCACCAGGAGTGGGGGGCAACGTAATGGCAATGGAGATTTTAAGTTACTATATATGCTGTATAACTGAAGTGCATTTAAAAAAAAAGTGAGTCGGCATTAGTGGTCAAATCTCTGCCTCTTCTTTTCTGCGAGTTTTTTTTTCTCTTCTGTTTACCTTCTCTGTTGTTGTGGGGAATAAGGACTATGCTTCATTCATCTGGAAGGCTTTGCTGAGGCATGCCATAGTGATTCTTGACCCGTAAGCACTAGATTATTTCCTCTTAGTTTACTTTTGTTTTTAACTTTTTCCTTCAAATGAAGTACCATTATTCCTGTTCATATCTTCTCACCATGTCAAAACCCAAATTAGGACTTTATTTATTATATTATTCAGCCTTTTTCTTCATCTTTAACTCATTCATATCTGTCATATACATGTATGTATTCATATATAAAATAAGCACTATTACAGTGAGCCGTCCAGTTCTGGCTTTCTTATATATTTGCGTGTCTCTGTGTGTTTTGCTAAAGTAGCTCTCCTGGATGAGTGTGTGGCCTCCTCTCTCTTTCCTCCCCTCAGCGCGGCTCTCTCCGCTGCAGCAGGGTTTGCATGTTTACTGTTCTAGAATTGTCATGGATTCTCCGTGGACCGGGCGGCACGTTGTTCCATGCTGGCTCACATCTGACTTCATGATTTTCTCCACAGTTGTGGTCATACCCTCTATCCCTCATCCAAGTCTGAACCATGGATTCCTTGCCAAGTTAATTCCTGAGCAGAGCTTTGCCCACTCATTTTACAAAGGTAATTCTGACCTCAGCTCCTGACCTATTGGGATATTCTTTCTTCATGAATTGTTATATAGTAAACATTCGTTATTTAACTGTTTATCAATAAGTATACCCCTCAGGTTCCACGAAATAGAACATATGGCATTAACTCTGCTCACTGAGAGCGAAAGGAAGCCTTGTGGTGCATCATTAAAGAATCAGACTACCCTGCCACTCACTTGTTTGAGCCTCACAGTGGCCTTGCAGCTGCCCCGCAGGGACAGGATGAGGAGTCAACTTTCACAAGGACCGACAGCCGTGGCCACCCTTGGGGCAGTTCCCGTCCGTCCACAGGGTCGCTGTGTGTGGGAATCACCTCCGTGGCAGGGGAGGAGCTGCAGTTCAGACAGCTGCTCTCGTTTACGTTTGCTTAAGGATCACCTGCGACCTTTGAGATCCCTGACTTCCAAGGTTAACATTCATTGCTTAGGGCTGCAGATAGTAGGTAGGCCTGGTGTGGCCCCTCCAGGCCCAGGAAAAAAATGGCTAAAGATGGGCCTGGACAGCACTTACATTACTGTTCAAACAAAGCCCAGTGCTTGAAAAATGACAAACACCAAAAACAGTCCAAATGGAATTGTAATTGTTAATTAAACATTTAGTAACTGATTAGTAAAGGTGCAAAGAAGTAGAAAAAAAAATGTGATTCATGTCCAGGAAGAGGAAATCAGTCAGTAGAAATAAATTCAGACAGGCCAGAGAGGGTGGAATTACCAGGTAAGGACATTGACGTAGAGAGGATGAATAAATTCAAGGTCCTTTCCAAGTAAAAGAACAAGACAAGACATCAGGAGAAATGTGCTTATGAAAAATGCTTTTAAAATATATTTATACGCATGTGTGAGAAAGAATTAAGGGATGTTTTTGTTGCAAACACTGTACCTGCAGGAGTGGAGGCTGAGGCGGGTGGAGGCTGAGATGGATGGCAGCAGAGTTGGGACCAGCACAGGAGGTGATGTTCCAGGGGCTGAGGCTATGGTGGCGGTGGGCTGGGGAAGAGCCCTCATGTACGTGGGCCGCAGCATTCCTGGGACATCAATGACACAGATTTTACTCCTAAGATCAGGATATGTTTACACCTTTGCTTTTGAGAAAAAGTGATTGGAAGGTGGCCTGACCAATCACAGGAGCTCCTTAGAGCAGAGGTTTTTTTCTCTGGCTCGTTGTAGCACAGGAAGTCACCTTGTGTCCACATGCAAGAGAGCTTCTGCATGAGCTGTTGCTTCTCATTGCTGGAGGAGGCCCAGCAGGACATGAAGGGTGTAGGGTATCTGACATGGGGGGTGTTTCTCATTGTTGAAGGAGGCCCAACAGGAGATGAGGGTGTGGAGTGTCTGACAGGGGGTTCCTCATTGCTGGAGGAGCCCCTAAAGGAGATGAGGAGCGTGGGGTGTCTGACATGAGCGGTCCCTTGCTGCCAGTGGTTGTACTCCTAGTGAGGGTGCGCTCTCTCTCAGATCTCCAAAGACAGAGAATTGGCATCTAGTACTAACTGGAATAATCTTGTGGAAGAACCCTGCACTCTCCAGGCCAACCCAGCTGGTAACTGGATTTCAGTCTCAGCAGAAAACTTGGGCACAGGAAGCCAGACTCCTGACCAGGAGAACTCTGAATAATATCTGGTTGCTATTTTAAGCCACTGACTTTCTGCTGCTGTTTGTATAGAAATGAAAAATGAGTTGGCTGGTTCATGGAACAGTCTGAAGTATCTACAGGGTGTTATTGAATCTCAAAGGGGAGACATAGTAGGAGGTGGGGAGTAAAGAAAATCATTTGAAAACTTAGTGGCCTCAGTTTTCCAGTTGATGACAATTGTGATGTTACAGCTTTATTACCCTCCCTGCAGGATGCATACTGAAAAGCACAAGATACATCATAGAACCAGAGGGGCATGCAGTGAGCACAGATTACTGTGTTTCTATGGAGAATTCAATGAGAAGAGTGTCTGAAGACGGCTCCTCAGAAACTAGTCAAGACAGAAGACAATGAACTTGACAGTTTTATGTGTTGAAAAGTCAGCCTGTGCTACCATGTCCATAAGAATATCTAAAAATTAAGGCCAACTCCCCCCTTTGGGACAAACCATATCAAATTAAATCTCCCCTAGACCTGTATACTACAAGAAATAGTCAAGAATGAGTCCTTTAGGCCACAGAAAACTTAAACATGAAGGAAAGTTGGATCTACACTAGGAATAAAGAGTTCTCTTATTAAGTACTGAAATATTGTTACCTTAGAGACTTGTTATACTACTAAGATTCCTTTTTTTGCAAACACTGACAATCCGTACACGTTTGCAGTTGTGCTGCCACCCCAGGGCAGGCGGTTCAAATCCCCCAGGTGCTCAGAGGAAGAAAGATGGACAGTTTCCTCCCATGTGATTTGTCACCTCTGAAATCCCACTGAAGAATCACCCATCCATCTGTTTGACTTCAGGGAATACAACAACAGTGGCAGAGACATTAGTGCCAAAAGTTTGTTTTGAGAAGAGTGAGTGAATGTGAATCAGGAGATGCAGCTCCTGACAACATAGTTCCGTCTGTTCACTAACTGGTTAATGGTGACTCACAGACAGCTTATGGTGTATGGGAAATTGATTCCATGTCTGTCTGCAAATTGCTCCTGTTATTGTTGTACGTGTTCATCATTTGAACATCATGGTAAAATGAAAGAAAAAGCCTCCCCCCCCCATCTTCATTGCTGATTAACCCAGCTAACTGTGAACTGTAGAAATTATTCAAGATTATCAAGATTATACTGTCACTGAAATACACAGTCTTGGCTCTATGAGGAGAAGTGTGGCATCAGGATTGGAGGTAGACTCATCAACAATCTGCATTATGCAGATGACACAACCCTGCTTCCTGAAACTGAGGAGGACCTGAAGCGTTTGCTGCAGAAGGTCAAGAACTGCAGTCTTCAATATGAATTGAAGCTCAACATCAAGAAAACAGATTCTCACCTCTGGGCCAACTGGTGGCATCATGATGGATGGTGAAGGGCTTGATGTTGTTGACAGCTTTAGTTTGCTTGCTCTACAGTCAACACTCTTGGCACCAGCAGCCAGGAAATTAAAAGACAAATTGCACTGGGAAAGATGCTGTCAGAGACCTCTCCAAAGTACTGAAGAGCAACGATGTCTATCTGGAGACTAAGGTGCACCTGATCCAGGCCATGGTCTTTGCAGTTACTTGCTATGCATCAAAGAGCTGGACAGTGACTAGGGATGATAGGAGGAGAGTTGATGCCTTTGAGCTTTGGTGCTGGAGAAGAGTATTGAATATACCATGGACAGCTAGGAGAACAAACATTTCGTCCTGGAAAGGGTGAAGCCAGGCTTGTCATTGGAGGCAAGGTTTCTGAAGCCTCATCTGACATACTTTGGACAAGTTGCAAGGCGGGACGAGTCCTTGGAGAGGGACATCATGCTTGGGAGGTGGAGGGACAGCACAGGAGAGGAAGACCCTTGATGAGATGTGTTGATTCAGTCACTGGGATAAGGGGGATGGGTGTGTTGGAGACAGTAATGTTGGCACAGGATAGAGCAGGGTTTAGGGCTGTTGTACATAGGGTCACTGTCTCAGGAGACTGGATGTCACATAACAACAACAACAACCTACAGACTAAATGTTTGGAAAATGCTCTGTGGAAATGTCGTCACACGGTACTGGAGCTTGCATCGGTACATCAGCACACTGCTTTCTTAGCAAGAGAATCTTGGTTGAGAGATGCAGGAAAGAATTGCAGCCTCCGCCATCCAGCTATGAGAACTGAACGCTCGCAGTTACTCCTGCTGAGTCCTGAAGGGGGCGCACAGGACGAGGTCATGGATAGAGCAGGAGAGAGCTGTGCAGCAGAATGGAGACCCCTAGAACGCCTACCAGTCTCCGATGGAGCCCTGGAGAAGACAACTCCTTTAAGCTCTGGAGCCATATTTACTCACAGGGTTCAACTTCCACCCAGACAGCACCAGGGAGCTATCTGCTCCTTACAATAATCAGTCATGGGAGGTCCAGAGGGCAGCATCTGTCTAGGGAGAGATCTCAGGAAGCAGTGAGAATGCAGGTACCATGTGGATTATAGCCAGTGTCCTGGAACAACCTGAATTGTAGTATGGAAATCCAGCTTGTTCGGGAAGCTTTCCCTCAACTGATAATAAAGGGCTTTCTAAAAAACAAAGCAAATCAACAACCATCCATGGAGAATAGAACAGAAGATAGGAAACTAGTTGGATTCATTATAGATTATTTAAACTGTCCTTTTAACATCTCCAGTATTGGAAGGAGTTTATGATTTCCCTAGACAGAGCAGGGAGTGATGTGGTAGCCTGGTGGTAAGAAGCTGCCCTGTTGCAAATCCAGCGACAACAAGTTCAAACCCACCAGCTGCTCCTTGGGAGGAAGATTGGCTGTCTTTTCCAATGCCCTTTATACTGTGTCTAAAAACCGGCTGGAGGGTCAGCTGTAAGTCAATTCCTACTCAGTGGTACGTAACAATAATGATAGGCAAAAGGGTGACAGCATGTAAACTCAAAGGCAGATCAAAGAACAAAGCAGTAGCTCAGTAGTTAGAATCTAGGAAACACAGTTTCTAAGATGATGTTACGTGCTGTCAGGTTGACTATGACTATGAATAATAACTTATGGGTTGCAATTTTTTATCAATAATATATCTTCTTAACATCAGTGAAGATTTTGAGATATGTATAGCATCAGTGAGAAAATATTACCCATTATTTTCTGGATTTGATAGATTTGTGTTTTATTTTCTATTAAAAGATCTATACATCGGAAAGTCATTAATTAGATTCCTTTTCTGCCATTGGAATAGAAATTAATTTAGTTATGACTATACTGAAAGTCATTACAAATACATTTTATAAGAAACATAAATGCATGTTATACACATGGATTTCACCTGATGGTATGCATAGGAATCAGATAGATTACATCTGTGGAAAGAAGCACTGGAGAA